ATTCACTGTATCCTGAAGTTATAGAATGTTTGAGCCAGAACAGACTGCTGAGTTATAGAATGTTTGAGCCAGAACAGACTGTCAATACCATCTTGTCCAAGATATTCATTTTACAGGTAATGAAATCAAGATCCAGAAGGTCAAGGTACTTGCCAGCAACCATACCACCTACTATTTTAGGTTACAATGGAATATACCATCAGAGCAAAGCAGAGACCTGTATTCAATGTTTCCTCTGCATTCAGGAAGAGTAGGAATTAGCCAACATTCAAGCAGGGAAAAAAGTATATTATAAAAATAATTTCTATTTCTATTATGTTTTAATGGTTACTGTACTGATCCGTGGAGACAGTAGAAAAGAATGGACAATTATTTAAGCCCCGTTAATCAAGCTACCACTTGGGCCCTGGAAGATGTGGTTCCAGGGTATGTAGCAGGTCTGTTAAATGGGGAAGTTCAATACCTCCTGGGCCAAAGGTTAGGAGCAAGATACTCTGTTGCTCCCCATCTTACGGTCTTGTGAGGGAAAGGTTCTCATGAAAGGTAACATCTCTTCTTGAAGTGGTGGTTGATTAATTTTTAAAGTATCTCCCAATACTGAATTTGATGCTTTCATAATGACTCCATATAGACTTTTACCTGACTTACATAAGATTCCTAAGTTGAGGAAGGGGTAGCCATCTTCCTCTTTGTTGAGGACAGCCAGATGAACATATAGATAGAAAGGTAGGTAGGGATAGAGACATAGACATAAATGGAATTTGTTCACTATAACAGAGCTAGGACAAAGGGCTAAGAAACTTTTGCATGGAGAAATGAGTCTGAAAAGCCCCAAATTTGCTTTAGCAGAGTGGAGATTGTGAAATTATTTAAAGACAGAACTAAAGATGTGCTGATTAGCCTAAGCAATAACATTGCCCTAAAGTGGTATTAAGAAACCTGAAGAGAAGTGAAGGAATAGTGAAAATGTGAAAGGATGAACAACAGTAGAAGAGGATAGAGCCTCAGAACATAACAGATATATAGCAATAGAGTAACAGATTGGTGATTCCAGTTACTGGCTCTGAAAAGCATTGAGTTCTATATAGAGGAATCTCTTATATAACTATAGATGAATCTATATCTATCTATGAGGTTGTACAGAACAACAGGCTTTCCTGGCTTCCTTTAAGCCCCAATTAAAACCTATTTTCTAGAGGAAGTCTTTCACAACTCCTCTCAATTCTGTTAATCATTCCTTATTTATCCTATCTATAGCTCATATATATATATATATATATATATATATATATATATATATATATATCTGTGTATTGTCTCTTCCATTCAATTTTAAGTGCCTTAAGGGCTTTTTTTGCCTCTTTTTGTATCCCCAGTGCTTCCCACAGTATCTGGCACATAGTAGGTGCTCAATAAATATTTATTGATTGAACAGGCTATTTATATAAAAAAATGACAACAGAGTGCTAAAGATAGCTATATGAAGGATATCAATGAATAAGATATTTATAGAGAGAATATGATGCAATATAGAAGCTGATTGTAGAACGAGATGTACATATACATGAGAGGAAGAAAAGTAATTGTTGTATTATGATAGTACACAAGAGGAAAAAAAACAAATTTGGCATCCATTATTCTAATGAAAGATTTGTGGTTAACAGTTGGACCTACTATGGATATCAATAAGCCTAGCCCTGTCCTAAACGTATGACGTAGGTTTTAAATCTCTTGAGAGTCTCCAAAGTGTAAAGTATGCTTACTATATTTATGGAGAATTTTTCTTCTAATATAAGTAATACAAATAAGTAACATAGATTTTATCTATGTTTTATAATAAAGAAACCTGAGGTTCATAGAAATACATTCACTGAACCATGATCACTCACATAGCTAAGTAAGTGTTAGAGTTAGGATGCAGAACCAGGACTCTTTCCACTATGACATGCTACCTCTTTGTTGTTTCCTGACCCAAATTACACTTTTCTTGCTGGCCTGGCTCAATGCCTAATGACCCACCATTGTGGCCGTTATTTTTTTTTTTATTAAAACACTTTCTTCATATGGTCCTTGTTAAAATGGACTAATTTGCTTAAGAGAAGACTACATAACCTCTGAGCTTCTTTTCAAATGTGATATTCCATAATTCTGCCAGTAGGCATACCTAATAAGAACAATTCCTTGCTCAGATTATCAAGCCTTCACCCACTTAAGAAATAGATAGCTGATGGAATAGGACAAGGTCAAAACATTAAGTACTACCAGAAAGGGGTAAGCACAGTTCAAGTATCTTGAGTAAATTCAACAAACAGTGGGAGAAAATTTTTAGTAGCATGGCCAAAGGAAAGGGGAAATTAAGAGGCAGTGTGGCATAATGGAAAAGTCTTACACTTGGAGTCATTAAAGAGAGAGGTTGAAATTCTGGCTACATTCATTATGAGCTATAGGGGATGAAGCAAATCATATAAACTCTCTCAGTCTTAGTTTCTTTATACCTACAATGAGAGTAACACTTGCATTATCTTACTCAAAAGGTTGTTATAAAGAAATATGAACTAGTATTATGTGAAAGTCTATATAAAAGTTACCAGAGACAAACTCCACCAATGTTAAAATTCTGCCAACAGTAGGAGCTCTACCCCAAATCCTAAATTTATAGTAAAATTAACATTAATAGTAATAAAAGTTAATGGTATGGGTTAATTTCTTATTCATTGAGAACAAAAAATGCCAAATGGATAAAGATATATATATATATATATATATATGTGTGTATATATATATATACATGTATATGTATTGTATATGAAATTTATGTGTATATGCATATGTATGTGTATGTATAACAGTAGGATAATTGATCCTTAGGAGTTTGCCTGCTCCACTTTGTCTCTGGATCAATTGATCTCATTAATGATATTGCCATCATTCTCTCATTCACTGAACTGCAAGCCATAGGTAGTGAAAGTTAGGAAGTGATAACTTTTACTAATGCATAAATAGGATGGAGATTTGAAAAAGGAAAGAAGCCATTTTTTTTATCCCCAAGGGATAAAAATGCCGGAATGTATATTGCTAATATCTTACATGAAAACAAAAAGATATCCCCCACATTCAGATATTAGTATTTATTTCTGAAAGAAATTTTTCATTGTTTTCCACACAGTATTGCTGTCTCTAAGCAAGTATTATGTAAGTCAAATATATATAACAATCCAGTGGAAATAAAACCAACTGATTATGTAAATGATTACATAAACCTACTACATGCTTTCTTGACATAGTTCCTGAAAAAGGAATCGCTCCTAGCTTCTTCTTGTTATATTTTGTTATTAGCCAGATTCCAAACACTGGCATACACTCACTTCTAGACTAATTAAAATCCTTCAAAGAAACAGGGACACAGCTTGGTGAGGAGAAAACATTGCAAGTCAAAAGACATGGGATCTGGTCCTGGCCCTGTGTTTTACTAAGTGTGTGACTGCTCAAGTTAATTAACTTTGCTGGGCCTCAATTTCCAAACTTACCACAAAAAAAAGAAGGGATAAGAATAGCAGCTCTTCTTACCTTCCAAGGTAACTTTGAGGATCAAATGTGATAATTGATGTAAAAGAGCTTTGAAAACTGTAAAACGTACTAACTGTGTTATTCTTTGCACCTCTGACTTCTCATCTGTAAAATGAGATGTTTGGACTGGATAATCTCTAAGGTCCCTCTAGCATTAGAATTCTATGATTCTAAGTTTAATTACAGCTTATGCATTAATTCCCAAAGAAAATTTCCAAAAACAAAACCTTTTAGATTAAAGGTAAGCACGTGATTCAGTCAAAGAAAGTTTATGGTGATTAAATTTCAATGGCTCAGCAGGGCATCCAGGCCATGGATCATCTTTTAAGCACATTCCACTATGGATGACAATTTTCGGATGAAAGCCAATTAAAACTGAGTTATCATTACAACAGAACGCTAAGAACTATCTAGAAAAAAAAAGTTGTTATGGACCTATTCAAGCAAAGCTTAAAATTAATGCTAAGAATGCTACAATTATACTGCCTCATCTTTTCATTTTTTTTTCATCCTGTAAATCTCAAGATATTTAAGAAACTTTTCTTCTAGTATTTGTTCCATTAGTTTTCTCAGTTAAATTGGTGAGCAAGCTAATGGAATGTTCATAATGACCTTACTTTATTCAACTTCTCCAAGAGCTACTTTCATTTGATTTTTCAGTCTTCTACTTGTTCACAATGATTTGGGTCATTATTTCTTTACCTAGACATATATTCATCTTCAGCACATAGGCCAATAATCAATGGGCCTCAAAAAAACTTGTCTGCCCATGCTTATTTCCCATTAGTCTGGCATTTAAGGCCGTTCTCAATCTGCCTCCAATCTCTTTCATAACCTAACCTATCAGTCATATACGTCTCCTTATTCCTCCTTCATATATTTCTGTTGTAGTTGTACTGGCCTTCTAGGTGTCACCCATACATGATATTCCATCTCCTTCCATTTTGGCTTTACTCAAGAGGCCCCCCATGTGTCTTGCTCACATGTAACTCATTTTTCCTAGATGGATTAAAAGGTTCTGTCTCCTATATAAGTCCTTTTCTAAAAGCTCCATGTATGAAGACTTTCTCTCTCTTGAAACTACATACCATTATTTTGTAATTACTTATGTGTGTGTTATATGCCCCTTTCCAACCTCCATGAAATAGAATATAAGGTAAGGCCTATTTTGTTTTCATGTTTGAATTATCAGCACCTGTCACAATTTCTTATACATGATAGGTCCTAACTAAATGTCGGTTGAGTTGAATTGATGAATTGGCTGTTTCCTATTTTGAAATCTTTCCCCTTCATTTTACTTTATTTTACAGTGGGTGTTGGGGAGGTGGGAGAAGAGGCAAAGGTGGTAGAAAGGGGAAAGAAAGCTTCTCTCCACAGCAATTAAAGTCTCTTTCTCATGATGTCCTTTCTTTTTTCCTCCCATTTTCCTACAGGTTTAAATGGTCAATTGGACGCCTGGCTCCTTATCAGAGAAACCCAAAATGAATAATTCAACGAGCCCAAACTCCACTAACAATGGAATGGTTCTTGCAAGTCCATATAAAACAGTAGAAGTAATATTCATTGTACTGGTAGCAGGATCACTCAGTTTGGTCACCACCATTGGAAATATCCTGGTCATGGTCTCCATTAAAGTCAATCGCCACCTCCAGACTGTCAACAACTACTTTTTGTTCAGCTTGGCATGTGCTGACCTCATCATAGGTGCCTTCTCCATGAACTTATACACTCTCTACACTGTGATTGGCTACTGGCCCTTGGGGCCTGTGGTGTGCGATCTTTGGCTAGCCTTGGACTATGTTGTCAGCAATGCCTCTGTTATGAACCTACTTATCATCAGCTTTGACAGATACTTTTGTGTCACCAAACCACTGACCTATCCAGTCAAGAGGACCACCAAAATGGCAGGCATGATGATTGCAGCTGCCTGGGTCCTGTCTTTTGTACTGTGGGCACCTGCCATTCTCTTCTGGCAGTTCATTGTAGGGGTAAGGACCGTGAAGGATGGAGAGTGCTACATTCAATTTTTCTCCAATGCTGCTGTCACCTTTGGCACAGCCATTGCCGCCTTCTATTTGCCTGTGATCATCATGTCAGTCTTGTACTGGCACATATCCCGAGCCAGCAAGAGCAGGATAAAAAAGGACAAAAAAGAAGCTGTGGCAAACCAGGATCCAGTCTCTCCAAGTCTGGTCCAAGGCAGAATTGTGAAGCCAAACAACAACAACATCCCCACCAGTGATGATGGTCTAGAGCATAACAAAATCCAAAATGGCAAAGCCACCAGAGATGCAGTGACTGAAAACTGTATTCAAGGGGAGGAGAAAGAGAGTTCCAATGATTCCACCTCTGTCAGTGCTGTGGCTTCTAACATCAAAGAAGATGATATAACCAGAGAGGAAAACACAATTTCCACCTCCCAGGGTCATTCCAAAGAAGAGAATTCCAAGCTGACATGCATCAAAATTGTCACCAAGACCCAGAAGGGTGACTGCTGTGCTCCCACCAATACCACTGTAGAGATTGTGGGTCCTTCGGGACAGAATGGGGATGATAAACAGAATATTGTTGCCCGCAAGATTGTGAAGATGACTAAGCAGCCTGCAAAAAAGAAACCTCCTCCTTCAAGAGAAAAGAAAGTGACCAGGACTATCTTGGCTATCCTATTGGCTTTCATCGTCACCTGGACCCCATATAATGTCATGGTGCTTATAAACACCTTCTGTGCAACCTGTGTTCCCAATACAGTATGGACAATTGGCTACTGGCTCTGTTACATCAACAGCACCATCAACCCTGCTTGCTATGCGCTGTGCAATGCCACCTTCAAGAAAACCTTCAAACACCTTCTCATGTGTAATTACAAGAACATAGGAGCCACAAGGTAAAAAGGACCAAAGATGAGAGAGGGAAACCAAGGGATTAGTCAAGAGTCAAGAAGGGGAAAACCGATTCCCAATTTTTAAAACTACGCCATAGCACTTTACATGATCAGTATGAAATGTTCAATCAAGGAAAGCAGTGAAGACACTCCTGATGGGGCCTCTGCTCCTTTGGAGAATTGCACTTTAAAGAGTATTTGCAATCCAAGAGCAATGAGGAAAGGGAAGGAGCCAATGGATGACATGGATTTAAGTCAATGTTCCCTGTTTCCTGACAGCATCACACAGAAGGGCTTTCGTGTCTATAGTTATGTCTGTTCCTGTATAATAGCAATCAAATCTCTCTCTTTTTTAATTTAATTGGGATTATTTGTTCCTGTGTGTCTATCCGAGGATAATATACAACATATAGTGATTTTTATTGGAAATTAGACACTAAATATATAAATAATATATTAAGAAGTAGAAAGGAAAGACAATGGGATAGTGATATCATAGTGTGAAGATGATCTTCAAAGCATCAAGCTGATACAATGGCTTTGTCAGGTTTTATATGGAAAACCATAATGTAACATATGTGCATTTATCCATCCCTACATATTTCACTTTTCCAAAAGGAAGCTAAAAAGGAAGGAGGCCAATGTCTTCTTTATTTTGCTGTGTTATCAGAGTACTGTGTTGCTCTGCTCTCCCTTTGATGGTGTCTCTATCCTAATAGGTTTGCCCTTACAGACTTCTCACTGAGCTTAGCTGCACAGGCATGGGCATGAATATGGGGGCTTCTTGCTGCTCATTGTACCTTTTGGGCTCTCGTGAGGTAATAGTCAATGGAACTTTAATTTCTTTGAGCTCTTACATGTAATATCTTCTATTGAGCTGGATTTCATCTCAATTAGCTTCTAATTTTGTTTTTAAAAAAACCTGTCCAAGGCAGGATGGAGAATCAAAGCCATCTGCAAAATGAAGGGTTTCATCAAATTAGTCACCAGGCAGTTTGGTTGGAAATCCCAAAAAGAGACCAGATCATTTTAGAAATGAGGAAATAGATAGGGGAAATTGAGGATAGAGCAAGAGAAGACTATTTCCAATAGATATAAACATCCTGTTCAGGATCTGCCTGACATGAGAAATCTTAACCTATAAAAAGACGAATTCTTTATTGCTGTCAGTCATGAAGAAGACTCCACTTCTTCCTAATCTGGATTAACATGGTGCCTCAAATCGCTCCTGGTTCTAACCCCAGAATAAAATATTTCTAAAGTCCTTCTTGTCTGCCAGTGCCTGTGGCATGTTAAATACAGTTGGATTGTATTTGTTAAATTAAAACACAGAATGAGATATTTCGATTTGGCCCATGAGAATGGAAAAGAAAAAACAAATTCCATTCTAGTCACCCCAGTAGCATGTTAAACCTACTCCAACTATCAATTCCTTCTACATTAGCTCAGCTACCCAGTCCTTTTATCCAAACAATAATTATAGTCTTTGTGTTGATGATATAGATTATAATCAAACTGAGGACAGGGTGAACTCAGAAGAATCTAATAAATATATGTAGGTAGGTTTTCCCGTTTCACCTTCTCACTATCCCCATATCTCCTGATATAAACAAAGACACAGCAGAAATTTTATTGTCCAGAGTTTCTGCCCATAGGATCTCACCCATTAAAATTTCTGGGTTTCAATCCAAATAATATTTACCTTTGTGTTGATTGCCATTAGTATAGTATGAACTTAACCCCAAACATTTTCCTCACATCATGTATGACAGTTTTTCAAATCAAAATTTGGAAGGATAGCCTTTTAAACTGCAAAGGAGTTTCCATTTTAAGATATATGTGTGTGTGTGTGTGTGTGTGTGTGTGTGCACATATATATATATAAATATATATATATTTAGTGTTGAATTTTGCTGAGTTTCACATTCTTTGAATATATCAAATAATGATAACCATAGCTCCTAATAGGATGATGCTGAATCATTCATGTATAGCATAGTATACCCAGGCAAAATATAAAGACTTACCTTTGAGACTCCTGACTATATACATCAGCCAGTTGAACTGTTATTTTTAAACAGTAACAATAATAACAAAAAGAAAACAATCTCATTTCTTGACTAAATTGAACTTTTCCAAGTAACTGTTTTATTGATATCCACTTTTTAAAAAAACTTTTATTTGTATAGATGCAAACATTTAATTGATTTAGTTTTCCTCATCATGATGTTTCAAAGTCAAGCTTTTATTCTCTGCTTCAGTTTATTCAAGATATATCTATGGACAACTGGTAGGTGAAATAAACACACACACACACACAAACACACATACACATGTACCAGTTGCTTGACCTTTGCAAATAAAGCAACAGTTTGGTTGATTAAGTAATTAAATAATGGAAAAAATCTACATTCAAAGATTGAGGGTTCAAGGTTCTGGAGATCTGTTAAATACGCTGACAGTCCATCCTGGATTCAGATACTTCCTGATCCCCCTGCAGTGTGGTGCAGCAGAAAGACTCCTGGATTTCCTGTAGGTTCTAATTAACAACATTGCTACTTACTAAAAAATGCCATAATTCCTTTCACACTTTAGTTACATTATCTCATTTGTGCTTCTTCACAATCCTTGAGGTATGTATTGTAGGTATTATTACCCTCCTTTTTATAACTGAGGAAAGTGAGGCTCAAAGATATTGAGAGACTCACCCATGATCATTTGACTAGTAATATTAGAGGCAGGATCCAAAATTAAGTCTTCTTGACTTTGAGCTCATTGCTCTATCCATTATCCCAAAATACCTCTCTACATCTACCACCTGGGTGATCTTGGGCAAATCACTTAACATCTCTGGTCTACTATTTCCTCATCGATAAAATGATGGTGTTGAACTACATAAATTCTAAAGTCTTGTGTAGTTCAAAATTCATGATCCTGGGATCTCCCCACTGGTGTTGATATTCACGTCTTCTTGAGCTTAGGCAAAAGGCCTTGCTAACAGGGAGATTAGTAGGCATTTCATGTAAAAGTTAGTGACAGATGGAGACTTTTCTCCAAACGGAGTCAGAAAAAAAAAAAAAGGTGAAGGTGGGGTTGGAAACCATGAAAAATGGAGAGCTTTGGAGAGAACTATGAATGAGCTCTCTGAAATATTTTGTCTAATATTCATTTTGTAGCCATTTGTAGAGATCTCTAAAACTTGGAAGTAACAAAGGAATCGACCATTTTCTAAACCACAATGAAAAATTCTCATCTTATTAAAGAAAACTCACACTTACCTATTGTTTCTTGGAGCTACTACTCTCCATGGAGTCTAGTGTATCTATGAGAAATTGGCATGTTAGAAGCTCAGACCAAACCAGGCCAGCCAGATCCCATCTGACTGTTTTACCTCTCTGAATTCTCATAAAGTGGTTGAGTTGATGAGTTCCAAGAATTAGAATATGCTTTCAATTTGGCACACATGAAGAAATGGTTCCAAGATCCGAAGGAATTAGACTTTGTATCCATATAACCCTGCCATTTTGTTGGATAATAAGACTTAAAAAACAATGAAGCAAATACATTAAAATGTTTGGAAGTAGGAACCGAGTCATGGCCACAGGAAGTGTTTGTCAGTGGATGCATTGTTTTCTGTCTGAGTTACAGCTTTATTTTTTCTGAATGCGAAATATACAGCCAATATTGATGGCAGGAAGAACTGTCTCTTTTCTACCAAGTTGACTTTTCCTTTAACTTCTATTTGTCCTAGCCTCATAGCAATAACCTAAAGAACTAAAGTGGGTTTTGTTTGGGGCACATGAAATGGATGGTTTGAAGAGGGAATGTTCTCCCTTTAATCCCCATCTCATCCATATCCTTGTTAAATCTCAGTTTTAAAGAGTTAAGCCATAGCCTCTAATTTGGCAAGCGCTGAGAATAGGTAGAAGTAGATTTAGTTTGGGGTCCTATACAGTCTTATTGCTTTTCATTAACCACTTGTCTTTTTGTCAACCGAAATGGGTTGCTGGTATGGGTTGAAACACAGAGGCAAGACTTCAAAATGATGGCCATATGTGTAAGGCCATGTATAAGGCTCTTCCAGAGAGAGACACAGTCTAATTGTCTTCATTGTAATTCATTCAATTCAGCTAATCCTTGTCCTCTGCTTTAATAATCTTACTTTCCACAAGCATAGCACTAAAGTTACAAGTAGAGCAGGAAAGCACACAATGCCAGGTGAAATTGTGCAAAGTGTATTTTCAGCATGTACATACAATACTGGGCCTCTTAAATATGCTTCTCTTAAAAGGGTGCACGCTACAGCATGAAACATGTGCATAATTACTGTATCCTACTGGAATATGCTGTATGCATACCATACATCCCCTATACATGAAGTAATAAAAGTGTACAATAGATATACATATTTCTGTATGCCTATGAATACAATGTGTACACACAATTTTAATATGTAATATGGTCCATATTGCATAAAGAGATGTGTTGATCTGCTTTTTAAGTAGCTGAAGTAGATTTTGATGTATTCATTAATAAAAAGAAATAGCATTTGTTTTTAAAGAAAGATAGTTCATTGAATAAGGCCAAAATCCTACCTATATTAAAACTGTTTTATAATCTGAGATAGCATGGCATTGATTTTAAATATCTTAGAAGAAAAAAATAATAAACCTTTACTGATCTAGACAAATGTAATGATATTGTTTTGTGCTTGTATGTCTTTGCCAACCATGGTGATCACCTATGTGATCAATATTGTTCATCACCTACTGCATGAATTAATCTCACATCTGATTATACAAAGAGGAAGCAAAACAAAACATTTACAATCATTTTAGCTCTTCTCCAAATAAGTGATGGTCAGGGGGAACAAACTTATAATCCGATAGGGAATGGAAAGTTTTGTTATTTTTTTGTTTTGTTTTGCTTTTTTCCAGATGCTCTCCCACTAAAAAAAAAAAATGGAACAACTGATATCAGATGTATGAGGCAAAGGAATTCAATACATCTGCCTCTCCAAACTGGGCTTGGTAGAGTGAGATAGACACTGGGATCAGGTCTAACTTTGGATTGTGTTTCACATTAGAGTCAACCCTTGGCAAAATTATGACACAGGAGATGTTTTTCTTGGTGATCTCCCACCTTCTCTTCAGTGGTTGTCTCCTAGGCCTCCTACTGACCCAAACTCACTTTTTCTTGAACTGAACTTTTTGCTTAGCTAGAAGATAGCTATTTCTTGCTAAGGTATTAGCCAATAAAGGGCTTAAAATGTCACACACCTCAGGGGCTACTTGTACTTTAATGAAAGAAATACATAAAGACCAAAACACTATCAAGACTCAAAGGATTTGATTTCTAATGATAGAATTTAAGCCCAGGAATGGCAGTGGGAGAAATTGATTTCATCAAAGGATCCCACTGCAGCCTCTAAGACCTAACCACCTAGGTGGCCTATAAATCCACCTAACTCTAAAGCTCATCTGATATTCCACAAGAAATATGCCCAAAGTCATCTGGAATTCATATATTCTCTACCACTGAAATACTAACTTGTCAGTTAATCCACATGTTAAACAGCCAAGTCAAATCATCACCAGCTGGTTTGATACTGATTGATAGGTTAGTACGCTAATAATGTTATTTGAGGGTAAAAGGAGAGGGTACGATCTCCTCTCATTTTTGTGTTTCCATAATTATTTCTGGGACCCCAATAGTAAAAAAAATATAAAAAGGAAAAGAGGAAAGAAGGGAGAAAAAGAAAGAAAGAAGGGAGAAAAAGAAAGAAAGAAAGAAAGAAAGAAAGAAAGAAAGAAAGAAAGAAAGAAGAAAGAAAGAAAGAAAGAAAGAGAAAGAAAGAAAGAAAGAAAAAGAAAGAAAGGAAGGAAGGAAGGAAGAAGGAAGAAGAAAAGAAAAGAAAGAAAGAAAGAAAGAAAGAAAGAAAGAAGGAGGGGGGAGGGAGGGAGGGAGGGAAGGAAGGAAGGAAGGAAGGAAGGAAGGAAGGAAGGAAGGAAGGAAGGAAGGAAGGAAGGAAGGAAGGAAGGAAGGAAAGAAGGAAGGAAAGAAGGAAGGAAGGAAGTCCTTGCATATAGTCCTACACTCTATTGTGGTACATTAGTTGTGAGGCATCATTAGAGTGACCTGAATTTGAGTTTGGTCTCCCCTACTTATTAACAATGTGACTTTGAGAAAATCATTTAATCTCCCTGGGTATACATTTCTTTATCGACATGTGCAAATAGAGACAATGCAACTTGTAATACTCACTATACAGTATTGTTGCAAGGGAGATGATTTTTAAACTGCAAATCTCTATGTGCAGGCGACCTACATACCTTACTGGCATAATGATGCCTCACAACTAATTGATAAAGTAAATTGTAAATGAGATCCAAGGTTATTAGTATATACTAATTTCCATTGATTTGATATATTTTCCCATTGAAATATGTCTATCGTTCAAATGTTCTACCTGAGCAAACAGTAGTATCTATGGAGAGAACAAAGAAGGCAGTTGGCTACTGTTGAGGATGAACTATGTCTCTAGAGCATGCATCTAATTGTACTCTCTCCTGCTTCATGATGTGGTATCACGATCATTTTTACAACTGAGCATGCAAGAAATAGTCACTGAGAAGATATGGCTTGTGTGTTTATTGACAAATATTTTTACAACGACTAACTTTTAGAGACCTCTCTTCTACCCAAGCAAATACACATACACAAGAGAGAAGTCAGGAAGTCAAAAAAGTACAATAGATCCTCAGAAAGCCTAATTATACATGCACAAGTACGTATTAAATACTCATAAATACATATATGCATTTATGATTCACATATTACATCAGCTCTAAAGACATTTTGTACTAAGGACACAGAAGATGTGAAATAAACCTCTAACTGTTTCATGTTCCATGTAAAAGCTTCTCACAGTTATAAACCCATTCTCAAGAAAGCTCTCAAAGTACTCATGTGTAAAGTCTAGTAAACATCATGATCTTAATATTTTTGATTCCTGGGGAAGTTTGTAGACCTCACGAAAGCCATTTTAAATGTTCTCATTTCTAAATTAAACTTATCACTACACAAGGACATTGGTCTACTTAGGGATTCTTAGACCCCAGAGAAAAATCTCCCCCACCACTATTTGTTTTATGTGCCCCATAGCTATTTGCAAGGGCCCAGCAATACAAAGTACTTATATCTGAAGAGGAAACAAAGAATACCTTTCATATATTCATACCAGGGAGAGGCACCATTGTAGTATGGACAAATGCCCAGACTTATAGTCAGGAAGAATATCCATGACTTATTACAGAATCACCAAAACAATCTCAAAATGAGTCTAACCATTACCTGAATAATAATTCCCCATTTCAAGGTACTCAGTAGTTGGTTTTTCCTTGAAAATCTTTGAAGCAAACCATTCCATTTTGGATCAGATCTAACTTGTAGGAATTTGTTCCTGACATGAAAAATTTGCATCCAGCCACTAATGTTTCCTGATTGTTCCTTTAATAATTTTGCCAGATATAAAAGATAACCCACTAGTCTTAAGTTTGCAGATTTCATTATGAGTTCTCTTTTTAAAAAAATATCAAAACATTTCTTTTTTCCAATCCTTCAATACCTGTTTTATTCTATAAGATTATAGTCACTAATAGTGGCTCAGGATTTTCCTCTACCTTTTTTTTTCAGTACCTAAGGATGTAATTCATCTGGGCCAGGTGACTTGAACTCATCAAGTGCTCATCAACTCATCAATATAACCATGTGATTATATTAATGTTTCTATATCTTGAGTATCAACTAATTCTTACACTGGATGGTTAAGAGTAAATATAAAACCAATGATATGAATTGGATACTTGTGTGGACCACACACAATGTGCTTAACTCTAGCCCAATTTTGGGAACATGCCATCCATTAAAGCAAAGAGTAGTTGATAGTACATGGATACATTAGTACAAACAATGCCCATTACTAGAGTGGATGGAGAAGGATAGAAACCTCATACTTTATACCCTATTGATATATGGCCAGGGGAATTTTGTTTTGTATGAAATATGACATTATCTTTATCAACATGAATAGACAAGGAGAAGAAAGGAGAAAAGGATGATGATTTATCAGAGCATTATTTTTTACGTCATCTGTGGAATACTTAAGGGCTAATGATATATGGCTGTGCGGCAGAAAAGAGATGAACCACCCATGGCATCTACTATCAGTGGCTAGACTTTAGCCAAGTAGAATGCCATGTGGACTAGACTATAGCAAATAGGAAAACCAGTCTCCTTCCTGTCATTTAAAGAAATGTGTGTTTGCAAATCAATCATTTGTGAATGAATCAAAAGGTATTTCTCTTTCATAGAAGCTCACCATTGCTTATTGGTGTATAATGAGAAATTGAAAGATGGTCATATAAAGGCCAGGAAGGAAAGGAAGTACAGAAAATGCATTTATTGATCATTAACAATTTTGCAAAATGTTCTTGTTTTTCAAAGCACAGTTCTGGGTGTCTGTTGTGCTTTGTGTGTATAGAGTAGACAGGGCACTTGCCCTCAAACTTTTATATTCCACATAAGAAAAAAATACTCATAAGGGGAAAAAAATAAGCATTAGAATCCTTGGGAAATTTTTAAAAATGAAGCAATGAAAATAAAGTAAAATCTTCAGTGAAGAGAAAGCATTCAATCTCTCCTCATGCTACCAAAAATTAAAAACAATCAGCAATCTTATTTCTCTCTTGCTCAAATCATTCTAACCTACATCTTTCCTTCATTGTTCTCTAATACCTTCTGATAAAAGAGACAGCAGTAATATTCTTTTCAAGGTAATTTTTAATCTAATTTCTTTGAAAACTAGTAGCTCCAAAAGTTTTAGGGTTTTGGATTTTATCTTCCTGCTACAGTTAACATTACTAGATACTAGAAAACAACAGATGGTGTGGAAACATATGGCTTAAATATCAATGGAGAAACACACAATGTATGGATTTGAGAGAAAAACATGAGTGTTTCTTTCAAAGAAAAGATTTACTACTTATTCTAGATGTGAATTACCTAATATTTAAACATAATATAAATTTTAAAGGAAATACCATCAGTTTTCTCTTGTAATATATTTTATGTTAGAGAGAATAATTATTCTTAGCTAGATACTGTCTATGTGCTCTATCAATATCCCTTGGTATAGGCAACCTTACAGAGCTCAGCTGCACATATCAAAATGATACATTTTGGAGATTATGCTATCAGTCAAAATAGCATTTGTGTGGCTTCAAGTTAATTTGTTCATTTGTTCAAATATTAGTGACTGGCCTCTGTTGTGCACTCTCTGTTCTCTGACTCATTTTGAGAACATTTCATAGTTTCATTGCATCCAATCTAGGAGATTT